GAGCACTACACGCTGGGGTCAGTTGGAGGGAAATAGGGGAGGGAAGGTGGGGGGTGGGGAGCTGGGGAGAGATAGCAAGGGGAGAGATTCCAGATGTAGGTGATAGGGGGGAAGGCAGCAAATAACACTGCCACGTGTGTACCTATGCAACAATCTTGCATGTTCTTCACATGTACCCCAAAACCTAAAATGCAATAAAATAAATAAATGGGATGAAAAAAAAAAGACTACAACTTTACTAACCAAACACAACTACTTTTAGCATTAAAATATATTTCTCTCTCATGTTTTCCATGAATCTTTCTTAATATCACAACAAGCCCAAAACACACAAAGTTCTCTGCTTTTCATATCTGACATTTAATCTGCTCTATGTAAGTGAAGCTGATCTCCACCATCTCTTCATGCAATTAATTTTTGCCTTCACATTTAAACAGGCCCATTTTCCTCACACATACCAATTTCTCTTCTTCCACATTCTTTTATTCTATATTCTTGACAAGATATCACATCTCTGACAAGTTTTTCTTCCATCTCTTCCTTATGCTTTTCTTATTTGTTAAATATTACAGAACTCCTTGCAGCTTCTTTCAAACAAAAATAATATAAAAATACTCATGAATTAGATTTTGGGAAAGAATCAACAATTAGGCAGCAGAAGTTGAAGAAACTGATTCTGAAATTCAGAGGCTTCAGGCCACAGTCACCATCTGAAGTTGAAGATGCTGCCTGTCTTTCTAGAGAAATAATGGGTAGCAGGTGGTTCTGGTAAATTAGCAAGGCACATGTTACCCTAATGTTTATCAAGTTGGCAATAACTGCAGTTGAATATTTTCCTTTAATAGTAAGTGGAGGCTTATAGACACTGAAAGATTATGAATGAACAGAAAAGATAAAATATTTCTCCTAAAAATAGACAACAGATAGTTTGGGAGATCAAAAACAAAATAAAATAAAATAATAAGCAGGTTATCGCAGTGATTTTTTTAAAACTGTCTGGGAAAGTATCCTGACTCCATAGGAATTAAAAGCAAGAAAGACTCCACTAGCTTGTTTCCTTCTACATTTCTAGCAAAATAGCACACATTAATTCTCTTTACATAAAAACAAATGAAAACAAGCCTGCAATGCATCACAACCAGAATGTATTTAATAAGATGATGAAACTTTTAGGGAAAGTTACAGTATCTTGTCTCAGAATAGCTAATGTTTTGGAAGGGGCTATTTCACTGGAGGATGGGGGAAAAAATATACATGTTGGGGAACAAGAATTCATGAATTTTTTGGCCTACGTTCCAACTTTCTTCAAAAAAATAAATTTATATATCTGTAGCCATAAAATTCCTTGAATGGTAAACAATAATAATAATGCCAAGTACTGTGATTTTACTTCTCTCTGAAATAAATGCCTCTAATACCTTCCTAAGTTAATGCACCACAAGCTTCAAGTGATAATTTTACAATATTACTACTAAAATTCCGATCCTCTAGAAGCAACAATGTTTATCATTTTTTAATGATTGCGCTTAATTCAAGAGAATTCCTGAAAAGTTTTAAAGCATCTGATAGCACACAACCACCATCTGATAATTTTGAGATGAGCTCAACATTATCACTCATTTGGAATCCCAGCCCCAAAATTTAATCTTTGGTCTTCTAACCAAGTGGTTTACTTCAAATATTTGCTTTCTCTGTACTATTATGAGAAATAAACAGTTTGGGTCCCAAATTTTGAATTTGTATGTTTTACAAAATGGGATTATGTTACAGACATAAAGCCAAGGCAAACAGCTCATTCACTTGTTAGTGTCCAATATAGCCTGCCTACAAAAGCTTTCTAAACTACTGACAACAAAAAAAAAACTTAACAGGGAAAAATTCCTGCTGCTGACTCATTCCTCATAGAGAAACATTTAGTATTTCCCAGGGCAGTGTGCTGAATTTCTATTATATTTCTAGTGCTATAATTTCCACTCGTGAATTCTGTAAGGGGTTTAGACAAGGTGAAAAAACAAAGATGAAAATCCTATGAAAGACACAGTGCTTTTAAAGGTACTATAATGAGATCTGCAGAAAAGCTATTGATCCATGCCATTTTGTTTTATTTCCAATATATACTATAGTAATGTTATTTCCCTAGGAAAGTTCACTGTATTCATCTAGGAACCTGCAGCAACAGGGCTAAGGGCAAACCAGAATTTTAGAGTATTCATCAGCAAGGAGTCAAAACGTCTTCACAAAAATCCAGGTACCACGCCAAGAAAGAAGGCAAAGTTCAAAGAACCATTCTTCAGCTTCTCTGGATCATGACGTAAGTGATCAAAGAACATGGAATTGAGGCAGACACTGATACAAAACATGTATTCATATACACATGCATGAATGTTATAGTACTTAATGGTGCTATTCCACTAAGCACCACAACCATATAACCATATCTAAAGCAAGCAAGCAACTCTTATGTAAGACAAGTATTAATTTTTGCAAATCACAAAGCGGGGATACAAAGTCAGGTCCCAAAACCCATTAAAAACACACTTTGGGTTTTTTTGGGGGGATTTTGTTGTTGTTTTGTTTTTTAGACGAAGTTTGGCTCTGTCAACTAGGCTGGAGTGCAGCAGTGGTGTGATCTCGGCTCGCTGCAACACTCGTCTTCCCAGTTTAAGCAATTCTTGTACCTCAGCCTCCCAAGTAGCTGAGACTATAGGCATGCGCCACCACACCCAGCTAATTTTTGTATTTTTAATAGAGTAGGCGTTTCGCTATGTTGGCCAGGCAGATCTCAAACTCCTGACCGCAAGCAATCCACCCACCTTGGCCTCCCAATGTGCTGGGATTACGGGCATGAACCACCACAACTGGCCAAATATTTACTTTAGAACATTCTGCGGCAGGAGAAGGATAGAGGGTATTTCCTTTCACCAATCATAGTACTTTTGAATCAAGTTCACAAGGAAATCATTTTTGAAATGTTAAATGAAATCAATGTTAGATATGCAAAAGAATACAGAAATATAGAATATATTAATTTTTCCAAAAAATTTAAATAAGTCTAGAGAACTCTATACTAAATGAGTTATTATTTCTCCTTAATTTTATCTTATTTAAAAAAAATTTAAGCCCTAAGTATTAAGAGTAGATATTTCCTTAATAACATATCTACAAGATTATGATTCCTTCTAGTTTATCATGCAGGATCTCCTAGTATATGATAGTCACAAAGTTAGAATCTGAATTCAATTTCAGTACTCTCCATATGAAATAAGAATTATGCAATTCAAATCTTATTTATTGTTTTCAGTAAAAACCTCCTTAGATTGATTTGTCTATTGGAAAATATCATTACACATTAAAGAAGAAAGCATCAGACAGAGGCAAAACCATGGATTTTAGAATCAAATGGACTAGTATTCAACACCAAGACAAGCCACCTCTTCTAAGAGCTTGCTATATTATTCAATCTCTGAGCTCCAGTTCTCCTAACTGCAATATATGGATGCTAATAACTAACCCATAGAGTTGTGGTGAGAATTAAGTGAGATAACATACATAAATTGCCTTGAACATTGTTTAGTATTTAGTATGTGTATAATAGCTGCTACATCATTTCATTCAATTTATTTATTCTTTAAATATGTCTAAATATCAACAATCTTTATTATAAATATGTCCATATTTTTCACTCAATGACAACATGTTTTAAAATTTTTCAACAACATGAGAAAACAGACAGCTGAATTATGCCTAGTCAAGCTGTTTTTACCAATCTAAGTCTGTATAAGCTATAGTATTCTTTTTTTTTTTTTTTTTTTTTTTTTAGATGGAATCTCGCTCTTTCACCCAGGCTGGAGTGCAGTGGCGTGGTCTCAGCTCACTGCAACTTCCACCTCCCACATTCAGGTGATTCTCCTGCCACAGCCTCCTGAGTAGCTGGGTTTACAGGCATGCACTACCATGCCCAGCTAATTTTTGTATTTTTAGTATAGACAGGGTTTCACTACCCGTACAGGCTGGTCTCGAAATCCTGAACTCAAGAGATCCACAAGGCTTAGCCTCCCAAAGTGCTAGAATAACAGGCATTAGCCAATGCACGTGGCCCATGTGGGCTATAGTATCCTAAGTTCAAGAAAACACCAACAGAAGATAAGTCACTTACACCCTGCCGTAGAAATGTACCATAGAGTTGTGAAAAATACAAACTACACTCCCACCTACCTTGGTTGGTTCTCCACAGTAAGGTTCTCCCCACGCTGATAGCCACTGTCTGCCACCTGGGTTGTAGACCTCTTCACAATTTGCTTCAGCTCCTGCTCTAAGCGCTCTATGATTGCCTTAACTGTCTCTGGGATCTTCTTCAGTTTGGCCAGACCTTTAATGAGGATACCCATAAAAAGGGTGCTGTTGTCCTCTGGATCCAATTCTAAATCCTCCTTGATGTCCTGCAGATTTATCTCCCTTGCTGAAAAATTAAATAATAATAATAGATAAAGGTTCCACTCAAAAACCCCAAAAAACAGAGCAGTCTAATAAATGAAATCACTGCCTTGATTACTCTCTTAAAGAATTAAAGAGGATTTTTCAATTAACTTATATTTACACAGTAACCATCCAAGAGTCACAAAATAACATTTATATTCCTCAAATCATACCCATCAGTTAGTAATAAGAGGCAGATGCAATAAAAATGAGTAAACAAATCACGATGGGAAGTTTTCCACAGACTACTACTTCTGCCATGAGTCCGCTGGCTTATGACATTTATTAGGCACTCGCTGTTTATAAAATGCCATATGTAGCGCTGCAAGGGAATTCTAAAGAGCTGGATCCTAGCCTCAGGTTTGTATTTGTTAGAAGTGATAAGTCGCTGGAGAAAAAGACATCATAAATACACACAGGGAGACAAGTGGTAAATAAATAAAACTTGTAATAAATTTTTTTAAAAAGATTAAGGAAAAACAATACTCATACAAGTGAGACAAGACTTTGAGAAAATAGAGTAGTGAAGAGGTATTTCATAAATACAAAAGAACAAACTTCTATTTTTCTTTAAACGTGTGTGCTACATCATTCTCTATAGGAGACAGATCTTGCTAATAATCCATGAAAGTTTTCTGAGAAGTAATATTATATGTCAAAAGCCTCTGTAGATCTTTAGAATATAGCATTCACTCAAACAATTTGGCATTGAAATGGAATACCCAAAACTTTGGTTTTTAATCCCTGTGGCAAGTTGGGGAGAGGAAAGAACTGGTGACAGGAGATCTCCATTATCCACTGAAAGCAATAGGCCTTGACCTCCAAGGAATGTATACATATGCAAAACTTCACATAGGAATCCCAGGTTTCACAACTGCCATAAGAACCAGAGGTTACAAATCTCTGGCTTAAAAGTAACTGCCTCATTTTACAAATGGCTGGATTATGCAAAAGCAAAAGTCAGTACAAGCGTGAAGATGAAGCCTAACAGTCAAAAGTTTTCCCCATCCACTTCTGTCCTCCATCCCTCAAAACGAATGGGAAATTTTTTAAATATGCAATATCCTGAAAGAATGAATACATTCTTCCTTAGTAGATTTAAACTCAATTAGACTACGAACCATTCTAAGTTAGTCAGCACTACTGGAATGGTATTGAAATCTACCAGGGAAGAAAGAAAATACCCCAGTATATGTAATGAGTTCTTGTAACTGCTGCATAAAGTCTCTAAAACCTCTACTTTAGATGATGTGAAATCCACTGTAGGCCATTCTCCTCAGTCCCTATTTTCAGGGCTCCCAACTTACAAAATGCACTTAAGGAGAATTCTGGGAAGACTGCAGAGTAGGAAGCACCAGGAATCTCCCACCTACATGACTACACTGGCAGTTATCTGTCTGATATAACTATTTTGTAACTCTGGAGTCTATGGAAAGGTTGCAACTTCCAAGGGAAGTGTTGGATGCTAACTTGTGGTTAATTTCAGTCAATTACAGTTCTTAGTACCGTAGCTACCTGGCACTGTGGCAGACATCCCTGTACCTGTTCCTGAAGTAGCTTGCACGCACCTGGTGGGAGACAGGGTGTGTAAAAAGGACCCACCTACCAAGTATCAGGAATCTATGCTCTGATAGCTGATTACTTCCTCCAGTCAAAGAGGTACAAAGAGGTGGATGAGCATTGTTCTTGCACCTCCTCCAATTTTTCAAGCTCCTCCCACTCTTGCTGACTTAAATTCCAGGGAATTTAAAGAGCCAGCAGTCTTCCCCCTCAACTGCCTTCATTTTTCTCTTGCTCCCCTTTCTAAAGGCAAACATTAGGACTAAGACATTCAAAATCAAATGCATGTATTGAAAAAATTATAAAGTGACCATGCATGCTCATGTAAAGGTGCGGGCCTAGAAAAGCTTAATTTGAGGAGATCTTAAATTAACACCCAAGCTGATCCTTAGGATAGACACTGCCTACAATAATTTAAAAAACAAAACAATAACAACATCAAAACCCAGCAAACCCTGGAAAAGAGGAACAATCTGATTTCCAGAGTCACCACATCATTAAACTCAAATGCCCAGTTTTCAACAACAACATCAAAAATCACAAAGCATACAAACAGAGAAGAAAATATGGCCCATTCAAAGAAAAAAAAAATAAATCAACAGAAACTGTCCCTGAAAAAGACTTAATGGTAGCTATATTAAGAAAAAAACTTTTAAAAATAACTGTCTTAAAGAAGCTCAAATAACTAACAAAAAATATAGAGAAAGTCAAGAAAAAAATGATGTATAAACAAACTGGCAATATCAATAGAGATATAAAAACTAATAAAAAAATGAGTAAGAAATTATTGAGCTGAAAAGTATACCTGAAATGAAAAATTCACTAGAGAGATTCAAAGGCAGATATGAGCAGGGAGAAGAAAAAAATTAGCAAACATCAAGATAGGACAATAAAAATTATCATCTGAAGAACAGAATGAAAAAAGATTGAAGAGAAGTGAGCAGAGCCCATAGAATACAATCAAATGCACTAACTTAGGTATTGTGGGAGTTCTGAAAGAAGAAAGAGAGAAAAGAGCAGAGAATATTGAAAGAAATAAGAGCAGAAAACATCTCAAATTTGATGAAAGACATGAATATAAACATCCAAGAAGCTCAACAAACTCCAAGTAAGAGGAACTCAAAGAGACCTATACCATGACACATTAGAATCAAACTTTCAAAAGACAGAGAGAATCTTAAAAGTAGTGAGAGGAGTAACTCATCACATACAAGATCCTCAATAAGATTATCCACAGATTTCTCATCAGAAACTTCGGAAGCCAGAAGGCAGTGGATTAATTCAAAGTGCTAAAAACAAACAAACAAAACTGTTTGTTTTCAACCAAGAATTCCATATCTCGCAAAACTGTCCTTCATAAGTGAAGGAAAAATTAAGACATTGTCAGATAAACAAAAGCTACAGGATTTCAGCACCATCAAGCCTGTCATGCAAGAAATGCTTTAGAAAGTCCTGCATGTTAAAAATGAAAGGACATTAGACAGTAACTACAAGGCATATGAAGAAATTAATATCTCAATAAAGATAATGCTTAGGCAATTATAAAAATTAGTAGTATTGCAACAAGACAATGATTTCTAACTGTAATTTTTGTTTTCTACATAATTTAAGACATTAAAAGATTTTTAAAACAAATTACTAATCTAAAAGCTAGTATTACTGTTAACTTTGATTTGTAAATCCACATTTTGTTTTCTACATAATTTAAGAAGCTAATGCATTTAAAAAGAATTATTAGTTCATTATTTTGAGCACAAAGTGCATAAAGATGTAATTTTGTGATATCAACAACCAGAAATGGTAGGGACAGAGCCATTAAAGGAGTGGAGGTTTTGTATTTTATTGAAGTTAAACTGATATAAATTCAAGTTAGAGAGTTAAAACTTTAGAATGTTAAATATAATTCCTATGGTAAGCACAAAGAAAAATGCTACAGAATGTACACCATTGGGGAATGAGAAAGGAATTTAAATATTTCACTATAAAAAGACAACTAAACACAAAATAATACAGTAATGTAGAATATGGGGGGCAAAAAAAAGCATATAGAAAACAAGTAACAAAATTTCTGAAATAAGTCACTTCTTATCAGCAATTACTTTAAATGTAAATGGGTTAAACTCTCCAACCAAAAGACAGAGACTAAAACAATAAATTAAAATTCATGATCCAATTATATACTGTCCACAAAAGCACAAATCGATTCAAAGGCAAAAACAGAGTGAAAGTAAAAGGCTGGAAAAAGATATTTCCCACAAATAGTAGCAAAAAAAGAGCAGAGGTAGCTATACTAATATCAGAAAAAAATAGAATTTAAATCAAAAATGATTATGAGACAAAGGACGTTATATATTAATAAAAGGCTCAATATAGTAAGAAGATATAACCATTATAAACATTTATAAACCTAATTACAGACTATCAAAATATATGAAGCAGAAACTGACAGAATTTAAGGCAAAAACATGCAGTTCTACAATAGCTGAAGACTTCAATAGCCTACTCTCAAAACTTGATAGAACAACCAGACAGAAATAAGGAAATAAAAGACTTAACACAATCAACCAACTAGATCTAACAGACATAAACGGAACACTCTACCCCAAAACAGCAACATACACACTCTTCTCAAATACATATGGGACATTTTCCAGGACAAACCATATATTAGGCTGCCAATTAAGTCTCAGCAGATTTAAGTAGAAATTATCATACAAAGTATCTTCTCTAACTAAATATTGATGAAGTTAGAAATCAGTAACTTAAAAAGGGAAAATTCACACATTTGTGTAAACCAACATTCTTTAAAAACTAATGGATCAAAAAAGAAATCTCAAAGGAAATTAGAAAATTACTTAAAGATTAATGAAAATGAAAATACAACATATGAAATACAATTGACAGGATGCAGGAATAGCAATAATAAAAAAGAAATTTATATTTATAAATGCTTACAGTAAAAAACAAGAAAGACGTCAATACAACAGCTTAATTTTACAGCTTAAGGATCTAGAAAACAAAGAACAAACTAAACCAAAGCTAGGAGAAGAAAGTAAACATAAATATTAGAGCAGAGATAAAACAGAGAATAGAAAAAAAATACCAAAACTAAGTAGATTCTTTGAAAACATCATCAAAAATGACAAATCTTTAGCCAGGTGACTAAAGATTTTCTTCCCTAAGAAAAAAATAGAGAAGACTCAAATGACTACATTTCAGAAATGAAAGTTACATTACAATTGGTTCTAGAGAAATAAATTATTACAACAGAGTACAGTGAATAATTGTACAACATCAAGTTGTATAACATAGATGAAATGTACAAATTCCTGGAAACATAAAGCCTATCAACACTAAATCACAAAAACATAGAAAAGCCAAATAGATCTATAACTAGTAAAAAGATTAAATAAGTATTCGAAA